GGATCTGAAACTATTTTATTTATCAGGAATAATATATTCCATTATGTTCTTAATTATATGCAACCTTTACTAAACATATTTAAAATAATAATAACCCTAAGCGAAGCAGCTGATCGCTATTCCCGGGTATTATTTTTTACATGGAACATGTCTCACCAGTCACCGTCAAGGCTCACGCGCACGTGATCACGTGATCGCGAGAATTTCATGTTGACATAGAATCGTCAAACAAAAACAAATATGACTTTTAACGAGTCAAAGTATGTCATTTATGATATATGTATCCATTCTCTGTCAACTAAAGTTTTTTTCAAGGCATCAATAGCGGTATTCTGACCGTGGTTGCTGTTAATAACGGTGAGTTGTGCGATCTTCCGATCAGATCACTTCACACACGATTTCGCCGAAATTAATAAAAACAATATTATAAGGAATTTTGAATAAAATCAATGAAATAAGTTACAAACATAAGTCCAGATATAGAAAGAACACTTTTTATAGCCAGACAGTGTAATTACATAATTATTTTGCGTACTTCAGTACAGATTTTTTGACATGGTATTCCCGGTGTTTCGTGCTCACGGTAATGTCTTTCCATGGGGGAAAAAAACATCCAAACTCATAATTCGTGTATAATGCGCAACCCCTTCTACACAGCTGTGTTTTTTCGAAAAAAAGTGCGCACTATACTCAAGAAAATACGGTATAATGATATTTACCATCTTTTTCGATCAGAAATGAATTGATTCTGGGAATTTGTTCCGGAGCGGAGCTTATCCTGTGTACAAAAACTCCTTTAGAAGAATGTCCAAAAACATTTATAGCTAAATTATTTTCCTTTTCCGCCCTATCAATTTGTGAGATTGGTGTAGGTTCGTCTATACCATCAAGGTTGAGTCCATCATTTTTGGGGATAGCTAGAAGGTCTATCCAGATGTTTGTCTAGGGGGAACAATGCAGATCTTATCATCATTCTGAAACAGTCATTCTTTTATTTTTTACATTAATTATGGGTTGTTTTTTTATAATCCGAGGGTAAATCTATACAAGATCCACCTTTGAAAGGCATATAATTTGCTATATCTAGATATAAACTATCGATTTTATCCACACCCCAACCCAAACCTCTATTAGTCCAGCATTCTAAAGTTTCCTGTATCCTCTGAATTGATGTATCTAATGATGTGCTTATAGTATCGGATTCGGTTATAACTTCTTGATTGCTTTGGAAATATGGTTCCATATATTCAGTGCTATCATCTGCGTTACTTTTACTCAATGACATTTTAACCGTCAGCTGGTATTTCATACTATTTAAATCATCTAATTCCTCGTTAATTTTGCTCGATACGATGGGCTTAACATCATTAACATCCATGTTGGAATTAATATCCATCTTCCAACCTCTTAGATATTTACCAATGCCGGCTGTGGGTACAAATTTTAACTCATTATTATCAACAACTGGTTTATTTTTATCAACATCGCCAACTGATTCATTATTATCTAGTATAGCGATCAATACAGCTTTTCTCATTCGAGAATAACCTCTCAGCCCACTGTTTTTTGCTTGAGCTTTGAGTTCTCTAACAGTCTGGGGTTTGTTGTATTCCAAACCGAGTAAATCGATCAATTCAGCTTTTCTCATTCGAGAATATCCACGTAGACAACGTTGCTTTGCCAAAGCTTTCAGCGAGCTGACAACATAAGTCATTGTGATATATAACTACATGTGGACTAATCTCTAATTGGTTTGAATTCTACCCAATCTTTTTATCTCATTTCGGTAAGCCTTTTTCCTCTCATAAATAATTTGAAACCATTTCTTGTCAGCACCGTGACACTTACATAAACAGCAACTACCTTTGACCCCAATCCCACATACAGAACAGGAATAATTAATATGCGCTTTTCTAATTGCAATGGAATGGATTCCACCAAAATCAGTCATACAGCTTTTTCCACAAATTTGTGATTGGCCCATGCGTATGAATTTACATCTTGATGTGCCTCTTGCCATTGTGATAAATATACCTTTATGTGTAGTTATTGTGTAGCTAAAAATAGCAATGACTGATAACCCAACACTATAAACGCTATCTCGCGGTCTTTCTGAGCCTCTGACGGTGTATAAAACTGAGAGAGTGTTGGTCTCTGTATTGGATCAAGTTTCTTCCCGTAAACAAGGAAGTATTCGTGCATAGCAGATTCAACATCCTTAAATGTTTGAATTGAATATCCCTCTTTACGCAGTTCTTCATTAATAAAATCTAATCTCTCCATTCTGCGCCTGGCCCATTGTGACTGGGCTGCTTCAAGTTGTTCTACTGCTTTATTATGTCGTTTACGCTCCTCTTCAACTTCTTTAGCGTTTGATTCCCTCATAGAGAAAAAAAAAAATAATCCCCGTAAAAGCTAGAGCATTAACAATAGCTCCACCGACCATCATCGCAATTGATGCCATATTATATGAATATAAAATATTCAATTGTTCAATAATATAAAATATTCAAATGTTATTATGTCTTCTGGGATAAGTCCTTGTTTGATGAGCATATCTTTTGTAGTCATTGCCAATCCAATATCAAGAATCATCATACCGATATCACAACCATTAAAATCTAGCTTGGGTGGTGTGGCTTTAGTAATCATTTTAGCAATACGGGAATAACCAATGGCCAAGCTGGTAACCACTGCTGAATGATACGTTGCGTTTAACAACATTTTACCGTCTGTAACTGGAGTAGTCATTATAACATTATATGGGGGCTTACCTCTATTTGAACCTCATCTAATTTTTGAACTTGTGACGTTTTCTCTTCTCCGGTCTTAAAAAATAACCACACCACCGTTATAGCAACAACTCCTAGTACATAGGGAGCCCAAGTTTTAATCAGACAACTATGTTCAGTATGTCGTTTCGCCTTCCTCGCCAACCCACCCTTCCTACCAGCTGCGACTTTTCGAGGATTCTTAGTCACTCTGACTTGTTGTGGTGACTGTGCAATCGCTGGTATTTCCTCATTCACTTGTTGTGGTATTTCCTCATTCACTTGTTGTGGTATTTCCTCATTCACTTGTTGTGATAGAATCGGGGTTTGTACTTGTTGCATTTCCGCAATCTGTTGTGATTGACTCTCCATTATTATCAAGTGGGCACGTATGTTTAAATTGACAATACCTAGCCGTTATTAAGCTGTGGTGAGTGGAGCTAAGAACATTCCATATCTATGATAAAACTCACAGCTTACTGAGCTTTTAGCGTGTTCGATGAATGGGTCTTTCTCGAGAGATTCGCATAAATACATGCGATGTTCTACCGGGATAGGAAGAAACGTACTAGCTACGACTGTGAATAGTTGTAACATAGCCGAACCTATTGTTTTAGTCATGGTAGCTACCAGTCTAGACTCGTAACGTGCACACAGTTTTTTAATTTCTTCATCGGTCATGTTATCAATTTTTTCAGTTGTATAATTTTCCCCCAAATATTGGGAACATTTTCCACCGGCTACCAAAGCAGCGAGTCTTTCTTTATGTTTATCTAAAGATTTATCTGTATGTTCTTCTGTATGTTGATCAGGTTCTTTGAGCATTTTGTTCGATGAGTTCTTCGCATTCCATAATGTAATACCTAAGGAGATATTTAAGTCTAACATAATAAAATATTGCATATCCAATACAACCCGAAATAATAAACTGTTGAGAAAGAATGAGGATTTCAAACCACATTATTACATAACAACCACTAATGTTCAATTTATCGTATTTTTTGCTATAATTTTGCTATTTGTGCTATGGTTTTTTTGCTTAGTAGTTGCTATTTTTGCTATAATTTTGCTTAGCAGTTGCTATATTTGCTATAATTTTGCTACTTTTGCTATATTTTTGCTAAGCTGGTTGATCGGTTTTTAATATGAGTTTACAGTGCTTCGTTGAAGCTAACAGTTTTCTGACTTTATCTCGCTTGGACTTGGTATAAATGCAAAAATTTTCAAAAAATTGTTTTATGGGAAAAAACCCAGTTGCGCTTCATGCGCGCTGCCCGGTTACACCTCATGGCGGGAATCAATACGTCACTTAAAAGATATGACGTAACGGTGACGTCATCCACGTTAGCGTCATCCACGTCAGCTTTCTGATTAACGCGCATCTCCGCCTGGATAGCCACCCGCTCCAGACGTGTTTTGCCCGGTCTCATTTTAGCAACTTAACTTAAAAGTTGAGGTCAGAAAACAATTTGGATTGGGGAACAGTACACTGGGAATTATGGTTTGGTGCAATTACTTCAAATTTGCAGAATTTTCGTCCCTCAAACCAAAAGCCATTTAAGGCAAAGACATCAGGGTCTGCCAAATCTGCCATCCCAAGCGGTTTCTGCTTCAGCTTTCATCTCGGACGGGAATGCAATGCCAAACCTTGTAGATACAGTCACTATTGTCCCCAATGCGGGGGTGACCATGGCTACAGTAAATGTGGGCAGAGGAAAGAATTTGGTAGACCAAACCGAGCAAACCAACCTCCCAACCCCTATAAACGTGCATAAGCTAGAACATTGGCTTGAAGGTTATGATAGAGAAATCACTGATTATCCATTAGAGGGTTTCAAGTTTGGGTTTCGCATTGGATACGAGGGTAATTTAAAATCAGGAGATTGTCACAACTGAAAAAGTGCTTCAGATAACATAGACGTGGTCCAAAACAAAATAAGCAAAGAATTAAGACTAGGTAGGATATCAGGCCCCTATAAACAGTTTCCACAAAAGGATTTTCATATATCTCCCAAAAAGTCCCAGGTCAATTTAGAATGATCCATCACCTTTCTTATCCTTACGGTAACTCTGTCAACGATGGTATACCTGAAAAGGCGAGCAATGTACATTATGCTTCCTTAGATGAAGCAATTGACATTATTGTTAGGATGGGCTTAGGGTCTTATATGGCGAAGTGCGACATTGAATCAGCTTTCAGAATTGTACCTATTCACCCTCACAATTATCACCTACTTGGTTTCACCTGGAAAGGAGAATATTATTTCGATAAGTGCTTGCCAATGGGTTGTTCGTCAGCATGCAAAATTTTCGAGACGTTTAGCACTGCGTTGAACTGGATTGCAATTAACAAACTCGGGATAGGACACATGCTGCATATTTTAGACGACTTCCTCATTATTTCTCAGGGCAGGGGCAAGTGTCGGGGAGAACTTGAAGCATTTTTAAACATATGCGGAGATATTGGGATTCCTTTTGCGCCTGAAAAAACAGTAGGGCCTGCCAACTGTCTCCAGTTTCTAGGAATCGAAATAGATACTATTGCCATGGAAGCCAGGTTACCTTCAGACAAATTAGTTAAGGCTAGAAGCTTGACCGCTGATATGTGCAAGAAGAAGGTTAGACTTAGTGAGCTGCCATCCTTATTAGGCTACCTTAATTTCACTTGTAAAGTTGTGGTACCAGGTAGGGCTTTTCTTAGGAGATTGTATGATTTAACTGTCGGGACCCAGAGACCCCATCATCGGATACGGTTAAATAAGCAAGCTCGGGAGGATCTTAAATCGTGGCTGCAATTTCTTGGTCAGTATAACGGGATATCCGTATTGCGGAAACAGGCGTGGTTGTCGAATAGTGCGCTTCATCTCTTTACCGACGCTGCAGCGTCGTTAGGGTATGGAATTGTTTTTAGAAGCAAACGGGCGTATGGAGTTTGGCCAGGCTGTTGGAAGTTGTTTAACATAGCTGTCTTAGAGTTTTTCCCCATTGTGTTGGCAGTTAGATTTTGGGCTGAAGAGCTAAGAGGAAAATGTATTCTGTTTCATACAGACAACATAGCTTTAGTGTCCGTTATCAATAAGCAAACGTCTAAAGAAGTCAAGTTGATGTCCTTGGTGAGGGACCTTGTTCTTTCGTGTTTGAAACGGGATATAATTTTCAGAGCGGAACACATACCGGGAAGACATAATAAGTCGGCAGACCTACTTTCTCGTTTACAGATATCAAAATTTGTCAGTCAGGCACCATGGGCAGACAAGCAGGAAACGCGGATTCCTCCGCCCCTACAACCCGAGAATTATCTATTCACTTAGATACTTTATTAGGGGCAGCTCTATGTAAGAATAGTCAGGCTACTTATACCAGAGCGTGGGAATTGTACAATGAATTCTCCCGGGATTGTCTAGGTATTTCGCCGGCGCTACCGATAGCAACACCTAACTGGGCACTATTTTTGGCGTATATGTTCCATTTAAAGTTAGCACCTTCAACAATGAGGACCTACATTTCAGCGTTAGGTTACATTCATAAAATTCGCGGTTTAGAGGACAAATCAAATTCTTTTCAAGTTCAGAAGTTGTTACATGGGGCTAAGTGTCTAAACTCTTCAGTAGACCAGCGTCTACCAATCACAGAGGACATACTGGGCAGGATGATTGACTCATTACCTGTGGTGTTTTCCAACCCTTCAATCAGACTACTTTATGAGACAATGTTTTTAGTTGCCTTTCACGGATTTTTTTGGATTGGTGAACTGACGGTGCGTAGTTCGGATGAGGAAGCGGCCTTGCAGGTGCAGGACGTTTCACTTTCCAGCTCCGCGGCCTATCTTAATATATCGATGTATAAACACAACAGCGGTAAAGCTAGCAAGATCGTCACACTAGACAAGTTAGACAGTACCCTATGTCCAGTTGCTGCGCTCAAACGTTACCTACGACAAAGGTCTCTCTTCCCAGGCCCTCTGTTTTGTGACAGATGCTTTAAACCGGTAGCAAGATCCTCCTTTAACGAGGCACTCAGAGTTGTATTTAACTTCTTAAGGTTAGATTCTACTAGATACAAAGGACACAGTTTCCGTATAGGTGCAGCATGCTCGGCAGCAAAGAAAGGCTGGTCGGACGCAAAAATTCGGCAAAGGGGCCGGTGGAATTCAGATGCATTTAAAGCATACATTCCTGTTCAGCTGTAGAGAATAAGGGTTGTTGTCGGTAGCGTAGCTCAGCGGAAAAAGAGCCTATTTGCTGAATAGGACCAATTAGAAGTTTGGCAATCTAGAGTTTTATTTATCACTTAAATGTAGGGAAAATGCGATTACTATTGATCTACTCATACAGAGTAGAGTCTGTTGTTCAATGTATCACTTACTATATTATAATGTGTGTTAACTTGTTATGGTTCATTATGCCAAGACAGGGAGTGTGGTGTTTCGCATGGGCAGACACTATGCTTCATGGTCAGGCGAGTTTGTTCAATTAGTAGCTACATGTAAATATTTACACGTCCCAACTAGGGGCCTTTATGAATTACATAGTAGAGTTGAGTGTTGTATGGTTGCATTTTATACCTTACCCTTATAATAATGAGCATGAGCAGGCACTATGCCTCAGGGTCAGGCAATTTGCTCAATGAGTTTCATTATTTAATTCTAATTATGATTAATGTTAATAATTTCATGTTCCATCAAGGAATCTTTTACGATTTCCATTTCGTGCGGGCTATCTCAAGTATTGGTCCGCACCAATAATTAACTACAACTGTTTTAGATTACATTGTTTACGAAATGTAGGCCTATATAGACTATTAGTACGTCATGAAACAAAATATTTTATGATAAGCTAGATAAGAGATACTGCCACCAGGATTTACTTTTGCAGGCAACAGACGTTAATGAAGACGAATCCCCAGGTGGAAGTGAAGAAAGAGACTCGGACCAACCGGTCAATACATAACACTTCCTATGGACCTGGAACGCTGTGCTATGTTTGTGTGTTTGTATCAAAGATACTCAATCAATGCAGATTGCATATATCATATTTCGTGCATAGAATTAGGGAGGAGGAAGCTGCTTTAAATTTTATTGATACGTTTCTAAAACTCGTCCCGAGACCGTCGTCGGGTGGGGGCATAGTGTTCCACTATTGTGGCGTTGTTTCCCCCACCTTTGTGGCTTATTTCATACAATTTCGGATTGATGAATTGTACGCTTAGGCGTATATACCTTGTAATAAATTTGTCCGCCTTTTGTGCGGGCCTAAACAACAATTTTCAGTGTCTGTAATTTTTGCCACAAATGAACTGGACGTTCTCGGGTCTAAGGTTTTTTGAGTATAAATAACATAATTTTCGCGTAGACATTCCACAAATGAATCTTGGTCTTTGCAATGAAACAGGGCTACCCATTTGGTCTGCTCTCTGAGATCTTTCAGGACAGAGTCGTATCCTTTTTGCTCCTTATGATCTTTCGGTGTCAAAGCACGCGATCGTACAAAATAGCTAAACTTCCGGTATACTGGTTACGAATTTGTCTGGCTAATTCAGGATCTGTTATCATATCATACTCCAGTGAGATATTGTCAATGGAATAGCTAGCATCTTAAGTAGCTCTGATTACTCTACCATAGTCATTAAAAGTGAGTTCGTATTCTAACCTATCGCCTAGGGATGCTTGATAAAAGGGCATGTGACTATCTAGTAATTCAAAGTCTAGCCGAATATAGAATCGGTTACCTAATGCGCCGGCAACAGCGAGATCTTTTATGACGATATTATCACCATTATCAGCACCCACACGCAGTCTCAATGTGTTCCGATTTCTAATACCTTGGTACTGTAAATTTTCCCGCTCTTTATCCGTTCTCCAGAGATCCATGTAACAGAAATATACATCGCTATCATCAATACTCAAAACCTCATCACCGCTAATTATAATCGCTATTTTCTTAAAGATAGCACGACCTATGTTCTGAACGGGCTCCCTGTTAGCATCTGTAGAATTCAAACTAATTCTAAATGCTAGTCGGACAGTTCCCGGAACTAACACATCGTGTGCGCCGAGATTAGGAAATCAAACCAGAAGTGTTTGATTCTGATCAATGGTACTCGGGTTATTAGTTATAGTTACAGACTGACAAATTGCTTTGACCCCTAATGGATCTCAAAGTCTACGTTGTGGGTTTAACTTGCGTCCGTATTCCGAAGACATTGTTACATTGAAATTATGTAACCTTATGTTTAATATAAAAATGGATGATTTTAATCTAGATAACTTTGATAACCCTAGTACAATCGAAAGAGGGTACTGATGAAACCAGCTTTGGTGGCATGAATCTTATTGATGAACTTTTACAATCAATCGTTAATGATTATTACGATGCCTTTAAAGATGTTAGTCCTGTTGTTCGTGACTATTCACAGTTTATGATAGATGGAAAAGATAGTAAAGGAATATTGCGACTGCGTGGCGCTCCAGATATTGATCTTATGAATTCTCGTACTCGTAAGACCCTAGCCTTATCTACGATAGCTGCTAAACACGGCATCAAATTTGTTCGTGATGAATTAGGTTTTGTGGACTACTCACGAGAAAAACTTTCCGTGAAGACTACTAAGGTTCTTTGGACTGTGCGTACTGAACTCAGTAACATAGATAATTTGGAAGAAAGCTCGAAGTTGGCCTCGGACAGCTCGGAGAAATCTTGGATACCTACTACGATAATTCCACGGTCAGTGTATCACCATATTCAGAGTTCAATATCAGGGAAATACGAGGTCTTGACAAGGCAATGTGAACAATGCGGGGAGAACTCATCAATAATATAGCCAATATATCCGAAATCGACAAGCATATAGCTTATGAGAAAACAAAACTTGAACAGGCGGGTGATGAATTCAGTAGACACTGCATTGCAGAAAGATTGCGTAACTTAGAAGACGAAAGATCGGCCTGCCTCGAAGCGGCTTCCAGTAATAGAAAGGCACTTCGTTCACAAATCAGTCGAATTCGAGAAACTATCGATCAAGTCCTCAACAATGATACTACACTGGCCGATAAAATTAAAACATTGTTCAGAGAACAGGGGATAACCATTGCCAGTATTTTAACAGCATTGGGATTTATTATATCGACTTTGACTCTCACGTTAACAGGTGGCAGCGGACCCCCCACACCACCTACTGATACAAATGGTGTAAAAGAGTGGATAAAAAAGCATTTGAAAGCATTAGGTTCAGCACTGGAAAAGCTCACTGGGAAAGCCGCATCTGCACTTCCCAGTGTAACAGGGAGTGTTGTTTCCTGGCTCTTGAATTTATTAGCTAAGACCACCACTTGGCTTAGTCAAAACTTGTGGGCACTGATCGTAGCAATTGCCGGACTGTTGTATGTATCCATTAAGAACTATTTATTCAAATCAGTTCATTAAGAACTATTTAACCAAATCATGAGTAAACCAACCGCGACTCCACCTACTACAAGCGCTGTTTTTTAATCGATATGTTGTTGATTTTTAGCTGCAATATGTGGTGACACTTGTGACTGTGCGTCAGTAGATGGTTGAGTGTTAGTAGATATCTGTGGCTTGACTATTCCCGTTTCGCCTGTGTTTGTTTGCGTTATTAATTCGGTATTAATATCTGAATTTATACCTGGTTTTTGATGATCGGAAGCAATAACAATTTTATTATTATAGCCTATCACTTGACCGATCTTAAGTTCCATATTACTCGGAGACATGTATAGTCCCGGTGCATAAACGTAGTCCACTTTGGATTGAGCGTACTGTAATGCATCTTGAAAACGCTTTATAGACGATGGTATGTCAACTGGTGAATTAATGGCGTCCTCCACGTTTGCGACAAACTGTTTTTGCGCATCGAACGCCGTCCAAGAACCGATAATGGACGTTCGTGTTTTCGATTGTGCACCGAGAATTACCCAATCCAATCATTATTAAAAAGTTGCAAGTTGTGATACCAACTATGAGTTTTTAAGAAAATATTATGTAATCTTACATAAAGTTTGCTTCTATGCGACCACCTAAGTGGATCTACTGGGTTTTTTTACCATTTCTTTAGCTAAAACATCATTTTCTTCTTTAACAGTTTTTTGTCTACTGTATGGAACACCTAGACCATAGCTAGCTCCTTTAATATGCCAATCTGTTCCCCTGGAAATACCAAATTCCTTACAAATATGTTCATACGCGAACCTATCGTATGGATTATTTGTGGAATTCCATGCGCGATCCTGTGGTAATGGGGCACTAATTTCTTTAAGAATATGTCTAATCTGATAGGACACGTGAAATAATAAAACAGACTTATTTAGTTCAAATCCTGGGGCATTAAGAGATACACCACATCCTGTAGTGGCACACCATATGGTAAAGTTTAACTGGTTCTGCCAAAATTGCATTGGATTGTGTAACCAATCGTGCAGCATTTTATTGCTAGTTGCCGTGACCCTGTACTTTTCAAAGATATCAGGGAATTCAACGAAAAACTTAGCATCAGATGCACTTAATAAAATCGACTGATTCGTAATGTAAGTTGATTTCATATTTAAGTTATGATATAGTATCATTGTATATTTAATATGTATGTCACACTCCCGGGAATAACAAATGGTCAGTCTATTGAACTGCTTCATACTATCGATAACTCAGCTGGACAACTTGAAGTCGCTGTCTGCGATGTAACGTATTACCCGCGGTGGGCCAATATAAGTGCTGCGAGAAATAATAATAGGATACAAATAGATAGTCTAGGTAATGAGGATGACTCTCACATTATACCTGATGGGTATTACAGTGTATGTTCACTCAATGATGAATTTTTTAAGCCTTTGGGATCTAGTCTCACAAAAAATGAGTCAAATGGGATGCTGATTATAAGCGCTGGAGAAAATATTATAATTCTTCACCGGTGCATAGCAGAAACACTTGGATTTATTAACGGAGTAGAAAGAATGTTAATACACCCCAACAAAACACAGCATGGATATAAATTGCCTGATTTAGTTCCCTATAAAGAGTTGTGCATCCATCTTGATCAGATCAGTACGACGGATAATATTCAACCTGAAAGTCCTTCTACTCTGCTGAGAGCTATTCCAGTCAAAGAAGAAAAATACAATAGCTGTAGAACGGAATCTTTCTCATCATTACAATATAAAAAATTAAAGCGGGGTATTATTTCAGATCTCAAAATGTCTGTATTAGATGTAAAACATCAACCTGTGCATATAGGATACTTGAGTGTAACACTCCATATTATAAATAATGGTTGATTCATCAGGCCCTGGAA